AAATCACATTTTCTGAGGCTGAGGTAATTTCTGGTGGCCAAGAAATATTACCTGGGATTGTTCATGTTCTCTCCCCGAGTTGAGTTTGACTTAAAAAGAAAAAAGGGATTTGACAAGCATGCGATGCTTACTTTTCCTGCAGCTTTTTCTGAACGACGTCTGCCTCTTTTAACTTGGCGTGGGTCTCCTGGAGTTCTCTGAAGAGGGCAGATACCTGCAGGTTCAGCACCTCCACTTCGCTGCCCACCTAAAAGAGGGAATTGAACCACCGGAAAAAAAACGGTTTTGTGTCTTGCTGAAAACACGACGCGGCTCACCGCACGCAGAAGTCCAACCGGTGTCTGACTCTAGAGGAATCATCCACTCAGAATAATAATACAAAAAAACAAAAACACCTTGTTGTGCCCTTGAGGCACACTACAAGAATAACACACGGTCTACTCCTACAAAACCAGTGTGTGTTCCTGGCTGATTCTGCAAAACACACCATTGTTGGTCCCTCACAGGAAGAGTTTTCTGTTTAAGTAGGGGACAGCAAAGAAGGAAGTTACTTGCAACTAAGTTTAAAATGCACACTGTTTTTAAGTGGTGCATGTAACACCATCAGTGCTAAAAGGGAGGGGTGTGTGTATGTGTGTGTGGACAGGAGGAGGACTGTTGGTGCTTTTTGAACTTGGTGGTTTTCTTGCAGATGTTTCAGGACCTAACTAGCTTACACCATCAGTACTAGAAGGGAGGGGTGTATGTGGAAAGGAGGAGGAGGAGGAGGAGGAGGAGAACTGTGGAGGTCCTTGGTGCTTTTTGAAGTTGGTGGTTTTCTTACAGACGGTTCAGGACCTAACTAGATTACACCATCAGTACTACAAGGGAGGTATGTGTGGAAAGGAAGAGGAGGAGGGGGAGGAGGATTGTAGGATCCTTGGTGTTTTCTGAACTGGATGGTTTTCTTGCAGACATTTCAGGACCCAACTAGGTAACAACATCAGTGCTAGAAGGGAGTAGGGTTTGTTCTCAATTTACATTCTAGTGACCTGACTTGTCAGTGTTGGTGGGATATTTTTGGTGGTTTCTTGATTGGGCTTGTAGGAGATGACCAGATTGAGCCCGAGGGAGGGGTCAAATATGTCATCAGTCTCAAGTCTCTTCGTGCCCACAAGAGATCTAAGTTCAGTCCATCTTGAATTCCACTGACTCTTACCGCCAATTTGCTTTGACTGTTAGTAGTTCAGATTCTTGTAGAGAATTTAAGCTTGCAATAAATCTTTATACTCATTTGAACTGCCTGGATTTCCTGATTTCCCCAGGCATTGTTTACTTTGTTTGGCAGTTCCTTGATCGGGGTATTGTTCACTTCTTGATGGCCTGATGTTAACCTTGGTGTTAATCTCTAAGTGTTGATTGCTTGTGAGGAGGCATTGTGGTCTTTTAGCTTTTGGATTGTCTCTTTCCAATGGCATGTACACGTTGTTTATTTCTGTATGCCTGTTGATGGCCGATTTCAACCCTGACCTACACATACTCTCCTTTATTAGTATCGTTGCGATTGGCAGCAAAACCAGGAAATTCAACTCTGCATTATGGGGGCCGTCCCTTGCCACTAGGCAGTCCTGTCATGTTGGACTCTGGGTCCAACAGATAATGAGAGAGTATCAGCTCTCCTAATTCCTGCATTTTGTGAATTTTGTGAAAGACGCACTATTTCAACAACTATCCATTTTTTTTTCAGAAAAAAATTCTGCACACAGCATGACTTGCTGGTTGGAAATATCTCTGCCATTAACATGGCCCGATACTGAGCTAGAATTATACAAATCTATATTTTACTACAGCTTTTTAAAAATATTAAATTAATAATTTCCCCTTTTCTAGTTCTTATTTGTTGCCTGATTGAGTTGCCAAAGCAAAAAATCACACCCAACATTCACAACCTGCAAGGTATCCATGCCATCCTCCTCTTGCTTCCCTTGTTTGGTGTCCACACTGACAAAATTTGGCCATCTGAACTGGTGATGGTAATTTACGGGAGGTACCATTGGTAGCTGAGCCGGGCCTTCTGTTCTCCGCCTACTGAGTCTCATTGAAGAAGACAACCAGCATCGCGCAACGTGTCATAACGGAACATTCTGTGATGTGCAAGGCGTAAGATTTTACGCGAGAGTGCAGTCGGTACAAGCGATGGAAGGAAGTTCATTTAAGTAACTTCTTGAGTTTCGGAGGAACGAAATGATAACATCCCTACTGGGTTTGGTGTTACTGAGTATGAATAAATGAGTAGCGGAGACTTTGGTGCTCTCTGAGCTTGGTTGCCTTTTTGAAGAAGTTTTATTACCCATCTGGACAAGATTTTGACAAGTAACATTTGCAAGAAAACAACCAAGCACCAGGAATCCTACATTCGTCACCTTCATTGCCACAATTGTCCTCCTCTTCCTCTCCTCCTCTTCCCTTCTAGCACTGATGATGTTCCCTAGTTGGGTATTGAAACATCTGCAGGGGAACCATCAAGCTCAGAGAGCACCAAAGACCCCACAATTCAACCCTGAGCAACAAATATTTTCTTCTATTGGTAAATGAGTAGTACTTACACTTTCACTTCTCTCTTCTTTCTTGTTGGCTTCTTGTTCTGTTTGAGTGCCTTTGTCATTTGTTTTCTTTTTCAGACTCAACAGCCTGTGGAAAGCAAGGATTCCAGTGAATCAATGATCTAGGACGTCTTATCAAAGCACATGTAGCTTAATATTTTTTTTGACAATTTGAAGGATGTGCACATGGATGTACGTGCAAAAAGATGTACAAGCTTAACAGATTTGTTGGCATTTAAGGGGAGGAGAATAGATACATACATACATATATAATTCACAGTTTTCTCAATGTTTTTGTTTAGTTTTATCGCTATTTAATTTATTCTTGTTTTGTATTTTCGAATAAAATAAAATAGATTTTTAAAAATATTTGAAAGATAAGCTGTTTAACTCAAGCTGCAGCTTAAATTGCTGGAAGCCACAACATAAATGTCTTATATTATGGTCGTATTAGTTCCTAAGAACATGCTTAAAGGTTTTTTGGATACTCAAGAGCCATACTGGTATGATTTGAGCACTTTGGTTGGCCTTATCACCTTTTTACAAAGTCTTTAAACTCTGGAGTATCTGATTTAGGTGCCACCTTTGTTATTTCACCTTTCACGTCCATGAAGCTGAAGACCTTCCAGCCACTGAAAATGGGTCAACTCTATGGCTTGGCTCTTATTCGACAAGAAAGGCTATAACAACCATTGTCAGCACTTCCTATGGAGATGCACAATGGGATGGCTGACCACTGATGGACTTCCACCTACTTCCTCCAAGCTTAACATGCTTGCTTGGGTTGCCTTCTTCCCACAACTGGGTTCCCCTCCCTACTTCTCTTCTCATGGAAGTAGATGAGATGAAGTTCAACCCCATCTCCATCTTTTTGGTGTTGATTGGCTGGAGAACACCAAACCTTGTTTGGGGCAAGGATGCCAAGATGGAGATACTACAAAGTTACACATGGAAGAAAGAGAATGATGACTGGGAAAGCACAAAGGTTGAAGCTGTCTAGCAAAGATGTCAGATACAACTAGAATACAGACTGTTGACACTTGTCCTTCAGTTCCTGCATCTTATTTTCCAGGGCTTCCCTCTTTTGCGTCTCGGTCCTGAGAGAATGCAGAAGTTGGCTGACGGTTAATTCTTCTTTTTCCAAGCATTTCCTGGTTTCATCCACCGATTTATTCCGGCTTTAATAAGATAGAAAAGACATGTTTGGGGTGAAATGATGACCAATCTCTTATTTCTCTCTTCTTTCTGTGCCAACTGAGAAAGCTCAAACTGCCCAAGGAGCTGCTGATCCAGTTCTACAGAGGAATGATGGAGTCTGTCATCTGCACCTCTATAACTGTCTGGTTTGGTTCTGCAACCCAACAAGATGGACACAGACTCCAGAGAGTAATTAGGACTGCATAAAAAACAATTACTACCAACCTGCCTTCCATGGAGGACCTGGATACTGCACCCTGAGTCAAAAAGAGGGCTGTGAAAATATCTACAGACCCCTCACATCCCTGACATAAACTGTTTCAACTCCTTCCCTCAAAACGGCGCTATAGAGCCCTGTACACCAGAAGAACTAGACACAAGAACAGTTTTCCCCCGAAAGCCATCACTCTGCTAAACAAGTAATTCCCTCAACACTGTCCAACTATTTACAAAGTCTGCATTACTTTTACTATTAATCTTCTCATCACTCCTTATCACCCAACCCCTCCCACTTGTGACTATATGACTGTAACTTTGTCAGTTGTATCCTTACGATTTATATTGACTGTTTCCTAGTACGATTTGATTGCTTATTGTACCCTATCATTAAGTGTTGCACCTGATGATTCTTGATTCTGGATGAATTAATCTTTTCTTTTTTGTACACTGAGACCATTTGCACCAAGACAAATTCCTTGTGTGTCCAATCACACTTGGCCAATAAAGAATTCTATTCCATTCCTTATTCCATTCCATTCCTATCCTATCCTATGTCAAGGCGGGTTGAAATCCGGATTCAGTTATGGACAGAAGTGAGATCCTACCTGTTCTACTACCGATTCGGTGATTGCGCGCAAGTGCGCACACACCTAACATGTGTGCGCAGTTTTCCACACACCAGCCAAGGCCTGCAGTGCCAATCAGCTAAGAGGAGAAAGAAGGGGAAAGCACAGGGGCAGGTGGAAGGGCGCTTCTCTCTTCTTTCTCCTCTCAGCTGATCGTGGGAGAATTTTTTTTACTACCGGTTCAGTTGAACCGTGCCGAACCGGTAGCATACCACCACTGGTTATGGAGCTCAACCAGCAGCTGGCACACGGGGGTGGGATTCTACCAGTTTGCACCTATTCGCTAGAACCGGTTGTTAACATTCTAAGCAGTTCAGAGAACCGGTTGTTAGAGGAAATTACTGGGCTAATCCTGTAAGGAAGGCAGGAAGGAAACATTCTGGTGTTGCTTACAGAAACTGCCTCTCCGTTAACCCTTATTCCATTCTTGGCAGGACTAGACTTCCTGCCTCAGGAACGTCTCTGGAGTTTTTTCCCCCTCCTTTGCTGGTACTTTACTTGTGTGGAGGGACCATTCAAAGTTACAATGGCACCGAAAAAAGTGACTTATGACCATTTTTCACACTTACAACTGTTGCAGCATCCCCACAGTCATGAGAGGCCAGGCGAGGAGATGCGTGCCTCGATGTGAGTGATATTGAGTTGGCTATGCCCAGCCAGTCACATGACCACCAAGCCACGCCCACCAACTAAGCCACATCCACAGAACCGCTTGTTAAAAAGTTTGAATCCCACCCCTGCTGGCACCCCATGAGTGAAGTCACAACTGAATTCAGATTTCAATCTAAGTCTACCCCTCAAGTAGACCACACCAGGGGATCAACTCCACCACAAGGCGAAGGCCACTTTTACTAAGAATAGTAATATAGCAATAAGAATAGTAGAATCTTGCAAGTCGCTCGCAGTGAACCTCCCCTCGCTTCTTATACTCCTGGGAATTAGGGAAGGGGGTCTGCTTTCAGCCTCTTCCAGATACTTAGTCCTGGCCTTGCAGCAGTTCATTTAGTGACCCCGTCCCAAGTTACAACAGCACTGAAAAATGTGACTTACAATCATTTTTCAGAGTTACAACCTTTGCAGCATCCCCATGGTCAACGATCCTAATTCAGACACATAGCAACTGACTCGTATTTATGACAGTCATGTGATCCCCTTTTGCGGCCTTCTAATGAGAAAAGTCAACGGGGGAGCCCAATTCGCTTAACAACCGGGTTACTAATTTATCCACTGCAGGGATTCGCTTGACAACGGTGGCAAGGAAGGCCGTAAAAGTCACTTAGCCAATGTCTCCCTTAGCCACAGAAATTTTGGACTCAATTACGCTCGTATGTCCAGGGGTACCAGGATAGGTAGAATATTCTCCTTTTCAGCAGCTGTCGCCTGAGCTACAGTAGAATAGAAGCAAATTCTCAGAAGACTTGAGAAAATCTACTCACACGTACAGAGCTGTGTTCCCGTTTATTCTTTTCACGTCTACATCTTGATGTTCTTTCAAAGATCCCACCGCTTCTCCTTCCTGTGGAAAATAACCAAGAGCTTTGTCACTTTGATCAACTGGTTTTGTCTCCGAATAAACACACGTTATGGGTTTGTCAAAAGAAGGGGTGAATGAATACTCTCCAAAGCCAGAACTTGGGTCTCTTCAATTGTAAGGTTTTCCTTCTCTCTCCTTTGCCCCCTCCCCCCACTTCCAAATCCATCCCAGAGATTAAGTAATCTGGGTTGCAACCTCTGAGGCTATGGGTAGTCCTCGCCTTATGACTGCAATGGAGCCCAAAATTTATGTTGCTGAGAGAAGCATTTGTTAAGTGAGTCTTGTCCTGTTTTTCAATGTTTTCTTGCTTTAAGCGAATCACTGCAATTGTTGATTACATTAGTAATTACCCATGTTTCTCCAAAAATAAGACTGGGTCATATTAATTTTTGCTTCAAAAGATGCATTAGGGCTTATTTTCCAGTTAGGTCTTATTTTCCAGGAAATACGGGGTTTGTTGAGGTAATTCCCCGTTAGGAGAATGAGTGCAACCAGGGAAACGTAGTGAGAGTAATGCTGAATAACACACACACAGCACACACCTACACTATATAGTAAAATGTAGGTTTTACTTCCAGTAAACGGTTAAGCAAAGTCCAAACACAGTCCAATTCATACACGGTTATAGCAGTCAGTTTTCAGTCCAGGGATAATCCAATAACAAAGTCCAGTATCAAAAAACAGTTTAGTAACAGACTTACATCAAATCCAAGAAGAACTATGATCAGCAACAGTCAATAGGGAAATGCAGGAACGGCAACACTCTCAACAACAGGAAAAACAGAACAACCCAGGTTTCTGGCTCCATCTTATGGCCGTTTGAGGAACCACACCCAATTACAATTTTAGCATTCCCTTAAAGAGACAGTATTAAAATGTCTATCCTGGTTTATATATTTTCCAACCCAACTGTTAAGTGACTTACATTCCGAACAGGATTCCATATTCTATTCTATTGTACTGTATTCTATTCACGTCCATCTGGCTGACAATCTTAACCGGGGCTTATTTTGGGGGCAGGGCTTATATTACAAGCATCCTGGAAAAATCATTCTAGGGCTTATTCTCTGGGTGGGTCTTATTTTCGGGGAAACACGGTAGTAACATGGTTGTTAAATGAATCAAGGCTCCCCATTGACTTGGCCGGTCAGGTGGTCACCAAAGAAGATCACGTGACTCCGGGACACTGCAATGGTCATAAGTACGAGACAGTCGCAAATGTCTGAATTTTGATTACGTGATGGGGATGAGGCGAGTGTCGAAAAACAGTTCAAAAGTCTCTTTTTTCAGTGCTGTTGTAACTTTGATCACTAAATGAACTGTTGTTAATTCAAGGTTTCTCTGTATTATATATAGAACACGGCTTATCAGTGTTCTTCCTTGATTCATCATCATCATCATCTTCATTTAACGACACCATAACCTTTTGTGGGGTGGAGTCTAGGCAACTGAACAGAGCTAGCAGAGTGTGTTACTGGCCAGATGCCGTCCCTGTTGCCAGTGAGGAATCTTGTTCAGCAGATATATTCTCAGTGTGCCCAGAGAGAGGAATTCTGCTTCTATCTAGGATCGAACTCACAGCCTCCTGAGACATCATTTTTATAACTAAAGCACAAATTGTCATAAATCACATTTCATAATATGATTCTGAATGAATCTTAATCTGTCCAAGAAGCCAAATTGCATTGCTCAATTATGGTCACTGGCTTCAGTTAAGCCGTGGTTTAGCAAATAACCTATGAAACATGTTACACCCCCCCCTTTTTTTTTTACAAACCACGATGTCTGAGTTCATAAGGAGTGGGTGGTGGCCTAGAAGTGGACTCTCACCTCACAATCAGGAGGCTGTGAGTTCCATCCTTGGTAGAGGCAGATATTTCTCTCTCTGGGCACAATGAGAATATATCTGCTGAACAAAACTCCGCCCTGGTGACAGGAAGGGCATCTGGCCAGTAAATGCTCTGCTAGCTTTTTTCAGTTGCCCAGACTCAACCCTGCAAGAGATTTATGGGGTTGTTAAATGATGATGATGTCTGAGTTCATATAGCCCATTAAACAGATCTGTACTAGAAAACTCCCCGCCAGTGATCAGTGATCCTTCTTGAAGAAAAGGATTCAAGGCCGCTTACATGCATTCTGATCTCGACGAAGGAGTCTTCGGCCGCGGCCACGTTGAGCTTCAGCTGCAGCTCTGAGATGATGGCTAGCAGATCCGCCTTTTCAGCCTGCAGCTTTGCCACCTGGGCCTTCAGTTGTTCTACCTCTTGGCTCATCTCCTTCCTCGGAACGGGGCTCTCCTAGGAGAAGAAACCCAGGTGTGACTCACCTTCCAGAGCGGCCGAGATGTTACGGGCAAAACGCCGAAGGCTTCCAACCGCCCTCCCGCCATAAGGCCATAAATACAAAAAGTCCTCGACTTACAGTTCGTTTAGTGATCGTGCAAAGTTACAATGGCACCTAATAATGGAAATTATATAACCGTTTTTCATAGTTACGACCTTTGTAGCATTTACGTGGTCAAAATTCAGACACTAAGGCCACTGGTTCATACTTATGACGGTCGCAGCGTCCGTGTGTGTGTGTGTGTGTGTGTGCCCTGTGATTCCCTTTGGCCATGGTTGGACCAGCAAAATCAATGGAGGAGCCAGATTCACTTAACAACCAGGTGGTTAACTTATTGACTGCAGGGATTCCCTTAACAACGGTGGCAGAAAAAGTCATAAAATGAACCAATTTCTCACTTAGCATCCTCAATTTTGGGCTCAATTTTGGTCATAAGTTGAGGGCCTACTGTATATCTAACTACATTTAATTAGGCTGACTCTTTGGTGATACTATGACCAATGGGACTTTCTAATTTTGATTCCTATTCTTTCATAAGGTGGCTCAATGGCTAAGACGCTGAGCTCGTCGATCAGAAAGGTCGGCAGTTCGGCTGTTCAAATCCCCAGCGCCATGTCATAGAGTGAGCTCCCGTTACTTGTCCCAGCTTCTACCAACCTAGAAGTTCGAAAGCATGTAAAAAATGCAAGTAGAAAAATAGGGACCCCTTTGGTGGGAAGGGAACTGTTGTGGTTCACTGGCAGCGGAATCAAACAGTGGGGAAGAACGGGGACCAGTCAGGGAGTCTGGTCCTGCATCCGATGCAGAGATGGGGCCAGGACTATCTGGGAGTGGGGTGCTGACTCCGGAGTCTGGCAGCAACGAGGCAGAGGACCCAGGGGAGCCTGTTCCCAGTGCACGTGTGCACAGAGCTGCTAGAAGGCGAGAGCAGCTGAGACAAAAGGGGCGACTTGGGAGTAAGGTGAGAGGTAATGGCCCCTCCCATAAGGTATAAAAGTCAGGCCAAGATGACGAAACCTTTGCAGGAAACAAAGGAGTTCGATAGGTTCCGAGTCATCCTGGAAGCTGTGTACTCTGGTTGGTGTTTCTTCTACTTCGTTTGGTTTCTTTTCTAGTTAATTTGATACTTCTGTTTTGGCAGTACTTCACAGAATTGAAAGGTGGGTGCTTATCTTGGGGAACTGTTTGAGATTAATTCTGGCTGGGAATGAAAACAATTCCCAGCATTGCAATAAAATAGGTTTTGCTTTTAAAACAAGTTTGTGAATAATTACGGTTTACGAAGCCTGGGTCAGAACAGTAACAGCATTCCGTGAGCCTTCGAAGGCATTTAGTCATGCCGGCCACATGACCACGGAGACGTCTTCAGACAGCGGTGGCTCTCTGGCTTTGTTACGGAGATGAACACCGCCCCCTAGACCCTAGAGCCGGAAACGACTAGCACAGATGTGCGAGGGAACCTTTACTTTTACCTGACATTAACTGAAGGGGAACCTTTACCTTAGTCTTTTATTAGGCGATAACTAAATCACTTTTACTAGCTACATCCGTTTTGGGAGCCCTCCCTCTTCCTTCTCAGCCCCAGGCAAGTCAACGTCTTGTTTTTCACTTACAGTGGCGCTCTTTTCTTCTTTCTCTTCCAGGCTCTGGAGCTTCTGGTGGAGACTTTCATTCTCCAGACACTTGGTTGCCAAACACTGCCGGGCTTCCTTGAATTTCGACTCGTAAAACTCCCGCTCGTCTTTCAACTTCTCCTTCCAAGCCGACAGCTCCTCGAAACGTTCCTTCATGGCTTGGTTCCGCTGCCTCATGGCTTCTGGTTGACCCCCCCCCCCCCCAAGAAAAACCCAGGGAGGTCGGTCAGCATGATCTGCTCCCTACAAACACCGGACGCGGGTTCAAGGAAATACTTTGGAGAAGGAGGAAGTCACGGACCGCCTACCGATACTGCAAGAAATACTTTGAGGAGGGCCTTAACCAGGGGTGGCCTTCCAAAAGGTTAGCAAGGAGTTCTCTGCCCAGTGGCTGGGTGGGCGTGGCCAGGGTTGGCGTGGCCTAGTCGGCCTCCCGCACCACAGCGTTTTTGCCCTTCCCGGACTTCAGAGGCTTTCCTTGAGCCTCCAGGAAGGTGAAAACGGCCTCCCTGGCCTCCAAAGCCCAGGGTGGGCAAAAACGCCCCCCCCCATGTGGTGGAGGAAGCCAACTAGGCCACGCCTACCTAGCCACCGGGCCCATTTCCGATCTTCTCAAACTTCTGGGAGGCCCGTTTTTCGCCCTCCCTGCACTTACTTGCATCCAAAATGGGCCGCGTGGGGACTCCTGGGAGGGGTGGGGCAGGGTGGGTGGGGCCAGCCAGGAGTGGGATTTGGGGCTTCTCTGAAATGCGCCGAATCTTAGCTAGGGGCTCTCCCAAACCCCTGCAAATCCCCCAGCAACCAGTGGCGGTATTCAGCCGGTTCGTACCGGATCAGGCGAACTGGTAGCAAAAATTTGGCGTGGGTCGCCAAACTGGTAGTAAGTTCTGGCTGGCCACGCCCACCACCCGGTCGCCCTCCCGCCCGATGCTCGCTCACCCCGCCCACCTGACATTCGCCGAAGGCATTTCTTTTTTTTCCCTCCCGACAATCAGCTGTAGATAAGATCAGCTATGCCGGGATTCCCCTTGCTGAGGCCCAGGAAGGCACAAAATGGAGGGAGGAGTTCAGCCCTCCCCCTCCATTTTTTGCCTTCCAGACCCCCAGAGGAGCCTTAGGGGAGCAAAAACGCCCCCCAGAGGCTTCTCTGAGGCTAGGAAGCTCCCAAAATGGAGCTTGGAGGGGTGCTGCGTGCCCCTCCCATGCTCTGTTCCTTTTCTTCCAGAGCCCCAGAGGAGCCTTAGGGGAACAAAAACAACCCCCCCCCCCCCCGGCCCCCCTGTGGGAAGCTCCCAAAAATGGGTGGGGGGGCTGCAAAAAAAAGCCACGCCCACCCAGCCACACCCACAGAACTGGTAGTAAATATTTTTGAATCCCACCACTGCCAGCAACCCACCCCTGGCCTTAATCTACCAATTGGGGTGACATTGTCAGAAAAGGAAGGAATGCACGGATCTACGGAGCTTCTCCGTCATCCAGATTGTGGTTGTCCCAAAGGTGCTTTATTTTTCTTTTTTCAAGAGGTAACTGGACGTTTCCCTTCTTGTCCAAAAAGCTTCCTGAAAAAGCACCTTTGGGAAAGCAGGAGCCTTACAAGATTAGATCTGCATGAGTCCCAAATTTGTCAGAAATCATCCGTTAGGTTCTGTGCGGCTCATCAACTAAAATTCTCGAGAAGAATCAGGCAAGGATTAACGTTGGTGAAGTTGGACTCTCCCAGATCTGATCTCTACTGATGTTCCAGTATTTGAAGGGCTGTCACAGAGAAGAGGGGGTCAAGCTATTCTCCAAAGCACCAGAAGGCAGGACAAGAAGCAATAAGGATGGAAACTCACCCAAGGAGAGAAGCAACTTGGAACTAAGGAGGAATTTCCTGACAGTGAGAACAATTAACCAGTGGAACCACTTGCCTCCAGAAGTTGTAAATGCTCCAACACTGGAGGCTTTTAAGAAGAGACTGGACAACCACTTGTCTGAAATGGTAGAGGGTTTCCATCCTGAGAAGGGGGTTGGACTAGAAGACCTCCAAGGTCCCTTCCAAATATTCCATTCCATTCTATTCTTATTCTAGTTCTGTTCTGTTCTATAATTCCAATTCCTATTCTATTTTTTTTCTATTCTTTATTTTCTATTCTATTCTCTATTTCCTCTTCTCTTCTATTTTCTATTCTTTATTTTCTACTCTATTCTCTATTCTATTCTCTAATTTTCTATTCTCTGTTCTCTATTTTCTACTCTATTCTATTCATAAATCATTCCATTATTTAATTGTTCTGTCAGGAAATTTCTTCTTAGTTCCAGGTTGCTTCTCTCCTTGATTAGGTTTCCATCTGTTGCTTCTTGTCCTGCCCTCGGGTGCTTTGGAGAATAATTTGTCCCCCTCTTCTTTGTGGCAGCCCCTCAAATACTGGAATACTGCTATCATGTCACCTCTCGTCCTTCTTTTCATCACACTAGAGAAAACAGAAAACAATGCAATGGAACTTAATCAATTGCCTATATCCCCAAAGATCAGGGGAAGTAGGGTGAAGTAAGTCCAGGGCACGGGTCTTCAAACTTGACAGCTTTGAGACTTATAGACTTCCAACTCCCAGAATTCCTCCTCCAGTCATGTTAGCTCAGGAATTCTGG